TCCTGGTGCTGCCCACTGGGTACGGATCAACAACAAGATGGCGGCCAGCCGAGGGGGCGGGGGCCGGGCGTCATAGTAACCAGGGCGGCAAAGAACCCGCCCCCGGCCGAGACCGTGCCCAATGAACAACCTCTTCGCCCGACACCCGGGGAGTGCTTCCCGATGACAGGCCAACCTGCCTGTCAATCAGAGCCAGCCTCCCGAGGCCCGAGCCGAACGCTCCGGCACGTGACTGTGACGGCACCGGGGGCGCATGCGTGCGGTTCCCGGGGTGGTTGGCGGCAGAGCTTTTGCGGGTGACTCCGAGGCCGTGGCGCCCTTGGCGTCTCTGCGTCCGCGACTCCGGTGCGGACCCGGCCGCGTCTCCCTGCGCGCACGCGGCGCGCCTGGGCCATGCCTGCTGGGCGCCGTTTGCTTTTCTTGGCCACGCCCCCGGGAAGGGAGGCGTTGCTGTCCCCCGTGCACGGGCGAGTAAACTGAGGCGCAGAGGGGGAAGCGGGGTCAAGGTCACGCCACCTCTGCCCGGGGAGGCGCCGGATTTAACGCCCATTCCCAGCGGCGTTCCCCGCTTTGGCCCCTAGTCCCGGGGTGCAGCCGGCCGTGCTGTCCCGAGCAGCGCCTGCCCCGCGCCCACGTTGCCCCTCCGTCTGGAGTCCAGTTCCCCGCACAGCCCCTGGCACCCCGCGGGCACTCTCCTCCTGCCCCGGGGTATCGTCCTGAGACCCTGTGACGGTCATGATAGGCCTCGGAGGCCGACTGCAGTCCTGGGCTCCCATACGAGCACCTACCCCTGGGCTCGGCTTCGAGGCCCACAGCAAGTGCCCGGCCCAGCCAGCGCCATCTGTGGCCCGGGATGCCCGTCTGGCTCTAGAGATGAAGATTAATGAGCCCTCGGGGAAGCCCGCCTGCCACCACTGCCCACAGCAGCCTGGCTCGCGTGTCTGCCCCCGGGCGCTCGAGCTCCAACTCCCTCGCTTTAACGGGAGCTCCTCGACCTGTGCTCCCCACAGGGCGCCCTGGCTGCTAACCCACCGGGGGCACCGGGCTGGCTCAGGAAGGGAGGCCTTCCAGCCCCCGAGCGGACGCCGTCCACAGACTCGGCAGAGGGGAGGCTGAGAGCGTGGGGATACCCAGCCCGGAGCCTCCCGGGGCA